ATTTGTACATTTTTGGTGCACTTTGCACTATTTTGAGCCAGTGCATTGATAAATTTGGCGAAGATTTTCACCTCTTTTTGCTAATTTTGCAAAACAAAAATGTTTTACTGAGTAGCACAGCTGCTCAGCCTAGCTATTGTGATGTTACATATCAGCACATATTTTTGATAATGTTCAGCCATGTTCAGCCAAAGTGGTCTTAAGTTCTAAGAACTTTAAAACGACAAATGTTGTGAATCAAATCCAAATGTTGAATTAAGTCAAAATATAGAACATATTAAAGATATCAAGTACCTCGAATATCTAAGATAATCGGGTTACTTTATAACGTGACGGATCATGCCTGTATCTCTTGATCAATCTCTTTGGCCTCTTCTGGTATATTTCTATAAATTTACCATCCAACTTCCCACAACTTCCCATGAAGTCTTGGTATTTACCTACTCATCTTTGCACATTTATTTACTGATTTCTTCTTTTTATATCTGTGTATTTTCGAACCTTTCTATGGTAAAATCAGGTAAAATGCCATATAAGGATTTCACAAAACAGGACGATTCAACCTCATAGTTCATATTGTTCATGCAAACTTATTATCGTTCAATGATACAGCCCGGTACAGAGCTCTCGAAGTGCTCTAGCAAAGAAATAACGCATCGCAAACCAAAAGTATCGCGAGCTATCAGTTTCAATGAAAATCACTTACTTCTCTGAAAGATAGATGTGCGACAATGTCAGACAAAACGTTCCTTTTGATTTGACAAGACGTCGTTGATAATGATGATTTGGGTTTAACCCTATTAGTGGCAGGGGGGGGGGGTGTTTTCATCCACCCTCAGGTTTTTCGGGAATATCTCCGAAACCGCTGAAGCTACGATGCTGAAATTTACTGACTTTTCCTAAAACTAAATTGGGCACATTCCCTGAAAATTTCAAGTTCATAACTTTACCAGGGGCGGCTCCAGAGCACTGGGAATTGGGGGGTCCTATTCGTGAAGCGAGTCATTTGGGCGAAGATCACGATGCTGATGTACCTATTATAACTGTATGCACCAGTTTTACGAACAGTAAATGAAAGGTATCATGTGATAACATATACAAAGTTATTGTGCATCCTCTTTTGACACGTTTTTGCTATAATAGGCGGATCCAGGCGTCCAAAAAGGGAGGTTATGTTTTACCTCCCAACATAGGTGCCCTGACACCGCCTATGCATGACCAATACAATTGTAGTCGTTCTCTCATAAGAAAATTGTAACATAGCAAGACCATTACCACCCTTTTTAGAAACAGTACCAACAAAAACCTTATTTACTATACTTTTTGTGTACCCCCAATCTCAATTATCTGTATCCGCCTATGATTTTTGAAAATGCGTATTTTTAGGATCCATGTGAATTCCTGGTTCATTCTCTATCGATCGGCAAAATATGCGTTAAGATTGGTTCAGAAACCTGGCCGTGATAAACAGTCTAAAATGTATCTGCAATTTGCCCGTTTTTACCCCCCCTCTACCCCCCTATTGACATTTATTTCATTTTTATTTTTTAGAAATGTAGATCACGTTGAGCGAAATCGAATGCCGTTTGAATTTTGAAAATCGGCCCGTTAGAACTCGAGATATCAAGGGGGGTCGTAAACAGCCCCCCTGCCACTAATAGGGGTAGCCAGGAGCCTGCCACTATTAGGGTTAAGGGGTCTAAAGTAACATTAATCCAATTGGATTGATCTGAATTAAAAAACTAGTGCCTAAAAACCATTTGTCTTGATCAGGTTAATTTCGAAATTGAGCTACAGATGTACCTAGGTATGCGTAAAATTCAACAAAATTGCAAAGCTTTACTGATCGGCGTAACGTCCAGCTAGGGCGAATTAAGCATGTAATGTATCAGTGCCTAGGAGATGAAATAATCTAGAGCAACTAAACTGAAATGTCTTATTCGTCATTGCTCCATCTGGTGAGCAAATAGAGTTTGCACTTAATGCACAAGTCTAAAGGGCTTGAAAAGCCAAAAGGTACAGGTTAAAAGCTAAAGGCGTACACTCAGTTGGCTGCAGTTAAATGCGTATGCAAATGACATAAAAGTTATTTTTGCCTAATTTCCAGCGCCAAAAGGTAGTCTGGCATCGAACTCTAAATAAATGGTTCGACTTTTTTGCCCTCTCAATGTATCTTAAAATAAGAATATCCCTAGAGATATATTCAAGTAAAAAGTAAATAGGGCCTCAAATCAATTAGAGGATAATCTGTGACGATTTCAAAGTACAATAAAACCTCGCTATAAAAATATTACCATCAACATGCCAATGAGTACAAGAGTTAGAGTTACCAAGAGTTGCAATTTTGTTTAAACTTTCAAATGTACTTAAATTCTCCTGTTATTCCGGATAGCTTCAAATTTCGTGCCGCCGTCTATCTGCGGTATGTTAAACTTTCGATCCAAATTATCATCGGTGAACCGGGCGAGGGCAAGGCTATGAGGTGGATTCGTGGTGTCATTCGCAACAAGCACTGCTTAGCGAAACACCCAGCCCAATAGCCACCCGTTCATCCATCCGGACATTTTTTTTTTTTAAAAAGCTAAAACCTTGCTAGAATAAAACTGTAGTGCGATGTCATCTAACATCGAAATGTCAATGAGCGTTTTGTGAAACAGACACCATGGCTTACGACATTGTTCTTTCCGAATAGCTGGTGGGCGACTTGGTAGAGCCAGGGACCGCGCTAAACAGAGTTGGTCGCGCAGGTCCGGACTCAACCTGTCCGATCGGGTAATCCCAGGCAACGATAAAAATGTGGACGTCAAAGATGAGCGTATCCATCAAGGACGTCACACTCAATGACTAACTGGTTACGAGAGTAAAGTAATCTTGGTTACGAGTGCTCCCACCAAACGAAAACCATCTCCGTAAGGAGATATATTGAGCGCCGGAGCGACTTAAACCCTAGTTAAAACAACCAGTTAATTTTTTCAGTCCCGATGAAACTGAGTAAAGGGTCGATACAAAAATGTTAACATGGGACCGTTTAAAATAACTAAACAAAACCTGTTGACTGCAACTCCCTCCGGATGAGAGAAAAATATAACATAAAAAGAGGCTTTCTCCTGAGACTTAGGAGTTATTCAAATTATGCTGAGTCAAATGCAAATTCCAAAAGTAGGATATTATCTGTGAGCACCCGAGGTGGAATGCGGACTCTCAGCGCACACCCGGTGTACCACTAACCTAGTGTAAAGCGAGGTCCACTGCAACTCATACGATATTTAAATCCATCTAGCGAAAGTTTGTGCTCAATGCGGTCCCCCAGTACAGACTTCAGTTCATGCTATCAATGCATGTATCTGCTAGAAATCGTGCAAATGCATTCGGCTTTCTCTGGCGGGGTGCCTCCGCGCAGATGTCCCCGTATGCATACAATGCCAAGCCGGCGTATGTTCGACCCCTTTACCCGGAACAGTGTCGAGCGAAAGTAATGATGTAAATGTCCCCAGCGTCGCGTCGACGCTGTAACGTCATAGGGCATGGGTGACCCTGCCAACGCAAGGCGCGGTGACGCAAGCACGGCTGCAGCCGTCCGCCCAGGATAAGCCCGACCCTTTCTTCAGTGAGCCGTTTCGGAGATGCATTAGCATACTGCAGCGTGGAGGGGAATAGGCAGTAGCCATACCGATAGTCAGACCGTCAGATATCCTTCCGACTTGGAATGATATGCCCTGCCGCCACCGAAGCATCAAGAGTGTTGAGATGAAAGCCGACCGCCCTCTCAGCCTCCTGATGTCACCACACCGGGTCAGGGTCGCTGCTCATCCCGAAGTGCCGCAGCCCATACTAACCAGCCACGCCGACGGCTAATGTAGCGTTGTTGTTGTCGAGGGGAGGGTGTTTGGCCGGCGCCAAATGCATCAGCCGCCCACTGTGTGTCCCGTCCGAGCCTGGTCACGTTTGTGTGCGCCCTCTCTGACCGAGGTCCCGTCTGCCGCAGGTCTTCCTGTTCTTGGCCGTGGTAGCGCTGGCGTCGGCTGACACCGGGGGCTACGCGCCGCCGCAGTCCGACTACGGCGCACCGGAGCCGAGCTACGGCGCACCGGAGCCGAGCTATGGACCGCCGGAACCGAGCTACGGACCCCCGGAGCCGAGCTATGGACCCCCGGAGCCGAGCTACGGTCCCCCAGAGCCGCACTACGGACCCCCTGAGCCGCACTACGAGGAGCCCAAGCCCCACTACCGTCCGCGTCCTGTCGGCATCAAGCAGTCGCTGCTCAACTCGCTGTTCAGCTTCAAGGGCCCCCAGATCCGGCCGGTGATTCGCAAGCTTCCCATCTGGATCCCGTCGCTCAAGTTCTTCCCCAAGCACGTGGCCATCCCGATCCCGTCGCCCACGCTGGTGAAGGTGCCGGTGCGCGTGCCCAGGCCGGTGCCGGTCGCCAAGCCGTACCCTGTGGCCCGGCCGGTGCCCGTGCCGGTCAAGGTCCACTACGAGGTGCCTGTGCTCCACACCAAGGAGAAGGGGTACGGCGACGGCGGCCACGATCACGGCCACAAGCCGGCCGCCGGCTACGGCGCGCCCAAGCCCTCCAACGAGTACGGCGCGCCGTCGTCCGGCGACTCGTACTCCAGCTACTGATCGACGCGACGACGCGTGAGATGACGAGGTGCGTGTCGGTGGGGTATGGGGAGAGGAGGGGTGGGAGGGAGCGGAGTGTGGTGTCCAGACTGATCACTGAGCTGTGGCAGATCAATAATGGTGTAGCGCACGGTTTGACTGATTGTTGGGATGATGTTTGATCTTTGGGTTGCTTTATGTTGATTTTCCTTGTGTATCCTGTGAACCATACTAACAGTGTTTTTCCTCTCTTTCTCGGTAGATCTTGAGAGCGCTGCGTTCGCAGCCGCATCGGATCGACTCATCATCTGCTCAAACTGCCGGGCGACCGGTCCCTGCGCTGCCGATCGGCGTCCGCACCGCTCTGACATTTCGTCTCGAAACAGCCATCAAATCACAGGGAGCTGGCGTCGGCCAGTCACATTTATTACAAAAACTTGTACTCAGGGACCGCCAGGCAGTCCCACGAAATCCGCACGCAGCGCAGCCGCCATGCCACCCAGTCCGCTGTCTTGCTCAGCGGCTGGGCCCTCTTCTCTACCTGAGTGTCTTCCCCGGCCCGGTGCCACCCGCCACAAACGCACCTCACATGACACCTTCAGGCCGGCCCGTGTGGCCAAACTCATAAATCAAAACAGTGAGCATCAACATTGGATAGGAAATCAGTCGAGCGCCGCTGTGAAACGCTCCAACTCATCCGCACATTGGAGGTCCGGCGCCGGGCCGACGGGAAGCTGGTTGTTATGTTCTTTGCAAGTGGCTTCAAGTGTCATTGTTAAACTAGCTATAAGTGATTTATCAGAACATGCCGGCAATACGCGAGTCCTAGACTGCGCAAAGTTCGCACATTTCACAATACTCATCGTGTGATATCATTATGTGACGAGCGTGTAACCGGTGTGGATAATATATGTGTGTGAACAAAACGGAATATTCTCAATTGGAAAAGCAGCCACCAATATCACAAAAAAACATACTTGGTGGGTTGACGACACGACTGGCTACATATTGGTATAATAATATAATATAATAATAATATTGGTATATAGAACATGGCACACCCTTCCCAATGAAAATGACGCGAGATGAGACTATCTACAAATGAGCCACAATGATACGGCAGTCACATGTTTACAAAAGGAAACGACTATCTTCCCGAAACACCAAGCTGCACATCGTAAATATTTGATATCGTCTCATTGCATGGACCGAAATACCTAAATAAACACGTGAGATGTCTTGGTATCGGTAGAACAAAGAAAACAGAGACCAGCTTAAGCACAACAAAGGCACACGATCTGATGCTGGTATGTAATAATGGCATAAAACTAACAAATAATTATAGGGGAAAATTATACCAAGTTCTTTCGTAACTACGATGAGTGGCAAACTGAGTAATTACTGAGGAGAAGTGTCTTAGGAATAAGATACACCGAGAAAAAGCTCCTCAGCTGTAAAGCAAGCCTTTTGACAAATACAATGTCTCCCTAGGAAAAAGGATTTTTACAATCTTACTTATGAAAGTTTGAGCAGGAAATGAAATTCGCGGTCCTCGAGACTACGGTTTAAAAAGACAACTTCAAAAACATAAACAACTCCAAAACAGCTGTGACACCGTCATAGAACGCACAGTTAGCCAGAGTTTCACTAGGCCACTGCCAGAACAGTACGGCAGTTCACCTGACACATATATAACACAGCCACAGTGTCACTAACAACCCACCCCGACACAAAACTGACACTGGAACCAGAAAATAATAAAAAAGTAATATACAATACACAGTTTGATCTATGCCACCTCATCACGACACTGTCAAAAACCGAGATAACTGCTGCCGTCAGCCGGCCAGCGGACCCCTCACTGACTCACATCTGAGGACACCCCGATCACCCAGCGGATGGCGGTATCTGCTCACTGCGCGGCCCTCCTGGCACCAGCGGAACGGGAGCCGCGCGTGGCCCTCGCTGGCCGGCCGACCGACGCTATAGGCGCCACCACCTGTTCAGAGAGGAGGGAACGCGGGTCACATGGCCGTCCGAACCCATTGATGGTGACGTACTGGGATATAAGACAAACACAATTATACTTATAGGACAATGATGGTGAAGTGTTGATTGGTCATCCTAAGCGTAACAAAGTTATCCGTAACGACGAAAATGTCGCCTTTAAGCCGCAACAAGACTGAGTGTTCCAGAGGCATGCCAATTAGGATTATAATTTCAATAGAATATATGTACGCTACGAGCACCATACGGTAAACTAACGAGTACAAGGGGACATTTGACCGTTTGGAGCATTTAGCTCTCACGCAGCGCTCGAAATGGACGGAATTCCGCAATTTTCATCGCAAAAAAACTCAGTAAGTTTTATTTGGAACGTTTGTTTTCAACATTAAATCAGGAAATATGAAGCGGAATCCATTTTTTTTTTTTAATGCGAGAACCTCTTCGAAGAGAATGCCCCTCGCAGCGTCTTAGAACACTTTTCTGCATTTACCAAAGATTTAGTATGTAACTAAACCACCTCCAGAAAATATATTTCTTCGTTCCATATTGTTTGCAGTTTGCATGTAAACAAACTTTAATGTGTTTTTGGGCAGCGCTGAAAAACAAACGGAACACGTCATGGCGCTGATATTTCTAAAAAGGCAAAAAAGCAAGGTGCATCTGCATCGAATGCCTAATTCCAGATAAAACTTAATGTTATAGAAAAAGTGTGCGGGTTGGTTCACGGAGGGTGGCTGACTCGTTCTGAAGCCGTCATGGCGTGAGGCGCATGGAAGGAGTGGTAGACTGCGCCGCACGACACGAAGGTATGCGGTACAGTCTATATAGCCGGGGATACCGGACCGCGATTTTTCCAAGTGACGAGTAGCCAAGGCTTTTAGCGCCACCTCTTAAGTGACGTAATATGCTGGCCAGCAGGTGCATGACACTTCTTGTTCCTCAGTTATAATTCTTTGCCCATCAACAGCGACAAAGGCAAATGCAAATACCCCAGTCATGCGCAGATTAAGCGCTCCTACTCGTGCTATAGTTGGTTTCCGGGCAACAAATACTATACCTACCCACACGCGTGACCTTAGGTGACCTTTCTACGAAGCCGGAGGTCAAACAAGACCGATCATTTACGGGCAGTCACCAAAATGCAGGCTAAAGGTCACCTTGTCGCTAGGCACCTGCGAGCGGAGGCCCAATAGGGCATGACCGTTAAGCAGATTTCAGTGAAATGCGAACAATTAAGCCCCCATGTGAACAATTAAGCGTGTCAAAGCCCAAATACGAACAAGAGAGACCCTGGAAGATGTCCCCAGGTCAGGCCTTGGGTCAGGCCAGTCACGTTCAGTCAAAACTCCTGAGAATGTGATTGCCATGTCTTAGGCCATCGCAAGACAACGCACGGCTCGGACGGCAAGAAGTGCTTAAGGATCTCCATTGACGCCGATGAGAAGATGAATAAGACGGCTATGAACGTCTGCTCGGCAGTGACGTCATTCCACGGATCTTGAGAACGTATTCCGAAGTCAATTTCGTTTTCCAGCAGGACAAAGCACCCGAAAACAACGCAATTTCCATCCAGCACAAGCTAACGGAGGAGCTCGGGGGAAAAGCCCATTCCTGGCGTAAGGAAAAAGGTGTCCCTCCCCCCCGTCATCCGACCTGAACTCCATCGACTAACGTATCTCGAGCGCATTGCAGGAGGAGGTCCCGGGAGTATTCCATCCCAATCTAGACGCCCTGAAGGCACACATCGTGAAGACGTGCGAGGAAATGGACACCGCTAACATCAACACCATGTAAGTCTTTCCGTCCCTGTGTGGAGATGGCCATCGCCGCCGAAGGGGGGTTATATCGAGTGAGAGGGGAGTGAAAGTATATGGCTTGACATGGCGAATCAGTTTTTGGTGTTTGTGTTGAATATATATGCCTGGTTGCATTTGTTTGTCGAAATGCATGAATGCGCTAGAACTTTTTGCGCACCCTGTAAGTAGCAAACTTTCTATACAAACTTACTATTAATATACACTTTATTATGTACCCCTGTAAATTATAAATTATGATTACATAATAAATTCGGTAGATCTATAATTAATCTACTGATTACGTAATAAAAATTACATAATATATTATAAATACACGCTTTACTGTATTTTCATTCACAGCCACCGGCCAGAATCACATTCCCGGCTAATGGCCAGAGGCCAGTAACCCACTGAGAGCGGATTGACGTCCCGGCAGGTCACATGTCGCAGTGTGGCCAACTTCCCTGCTGGCACCGTGCCAAGAGTACCGGTCTGCAGCGAAGAATACCAATAGCTGGACAAGACACGTGCGCGTGATGGTTTTCTATTTCCTGAGAGTTTCATATGAGGCTGGAATGGTGAATGGGTTTTAAAATATACGTTAGGCTGGAATGGCGAATGGGTTTTACAATATACGTTTCTGGGCCATGAAATCACGACGGTGACTTTTTGTGTAAGGAACACAGTCTCAGACAATGCAGGCAAAGGAACATATCCGAACTTATAATGGACTCATGAGAGTCATTGTGTTTTGCACCGATTATCAGGACAGCATGATCAAATTAAAAGACGAAGACCTCCAGAAGAGTTGTAACAGTAGGGCATTCTCCAGCTTTAAACATTACAGGTTGCTTAGTCTGTCAGAGGCCCGTCAAGCGGCTACTGAGGCGAGAATCACTGGGCCAGGCTCACCAGCACTCAGCAGTGCCAGTCACCTGCAGCTAAAGCCGGCAAGGAGCTCATGCATATACAGCAATACCTACATTATGTCCGAAACCTTTCCAACACTGAGGGGGCCAGTGGTCCTCCTGGCTGTTGCAAAAGGTGGTGAAAGTTGGCACTACGCGGGTTTATATCTATTTTGATTTGCATTTTGCATGGTGAATGAGTATGTTTGAGTGATGCAGACTTGCTGAAGCCTGTTGAACGCTCTGGTGCTAAAAATTGTGAAGAAAATAGGGCAGGTGAAACATTTTGCGATATAAATTTTAGCGCCGTGATGCTGCATAGAACCAATTTCGAGGACAAAGAGGAGGGACGGGAGATTGGTGCGGCACCTTTGAATATTTTGGATCATATATAACAAACATTTTATTGGACAGCACACCAGAATCACGGATGTCCAATGTCATTCAAATTTAAACGAGGTAAGCTGCCGGAGGTAGCAACGCTAAAAGCAGTTGACACTCAGTTGTTCGATTGCTTTAGATTTAGATTAAAGTTAAATACAAATAAATTACATTGTGTACAGTGCACTTTTTTGGGGGTTACGCCCTTTCGGTCCAATTAGACCATTTCAGAGCCGGAAGGATGATAGGAATTAGGGGGAGACATTGGTCTGGGCAGGCACCCTAGTGAGTCACCGGGGCTGAGCCCATCGTCCAGCCCGGAGGGGGGTTGCGGTGTGGAGAAGGATTTCCGCATCCTGAGGATAGAAGCATGGAACGGTGCACAGTCCACTTACGCAGAGCTGCGGGAACCTTGAATTGGTGCTGGTCGCAAGGCTTCGATCAATAATAAACAGCTTATGCCAAACGAAGTGACTTAGCGTTAAAATATTTGTTGCACTCAAAATTGCTAGAAAGTACGCACTACGCATACATCCAAGATACTCCTAGTAAAACAAGAACATCAAACTCATTGAGGGGCGGGCCAATTTAGCAGGGGCGCCGCCACGGATTTTTGACTGGGGGGGACGGACTGACCGACTGAAAACCCAAAAGTAGGCATTCTTACCGTGGCTTTTTCGACCCGATGCATTCAAAGTTTAAAGCAAATATGCCACTTTTAACATTGGGTTTTGAACTGAAGTAACAGTTTTGTAGCCTGAGCTGAGACAAGAACAAATCAGGAGCTTTTATGGCCCAACGATCACCCTAGCCAAAGATATCGGTATCGATTTTAGGTTTGAGGTTTTGAAGACCCTTGCCGAGGAATCCATTCCCTTGCGGGAAAATGCCAGCCAATCAGCATTCAGCTGGTTTGAACTACGTAATATGATTGGCCAACGCGTAATCAACTTCCGCTGCAATATCAGGCCTCTACGAAAGACGGTAATTGGTTCTTAACTTCTTATGTAAGAGTAAAAATAAAATCCTTTTGCAAATATTCATTATGTTATTTTCTGACCATTTTAAGCATAAAAACTCATAAACCTGTGGCAAAACAACTGGTTTGAGGCAAGTAGTTTAGGTATTTCCTTTAATAGACCCGAGACCGAATTCCCACCGAGCACCTACCTATATACACATCTGATGTCCGATTCAATTTTGACACGGCAAAGCCTCTAGTGTTCTATCAGGGTATAATTGCTGATGTATGCCACTAATCTGATCGGTAATGCATATTGCATAGGTAATGCATACCCGCGTGGGGGAGGAGGCGTTGTATAGTTACAATCTCTCTTTCTGGCTTGTGCATGAATCGGCGCGAAGCGCCACGAAAATTGGCAAAAAAAAAAACATCAGGCAAAACTGCTCCAAAATACGAATTTTGCAGCCCGTTTAACAAGTTTGATACCAGAAAACTTTAGGTCAGGTCACCAAGTCAAGTAGTCAAGTCGCCTCAAAGTTTTGTGGTCCTGTCAACGGTAGGTATAGCTTATTTCTTAGAAGCTGAAAATTTAGTGTAGTGTGACTGCAAAACTGTGGGGTCGGAGCCGGAATTAGTCGGAGTGACAGTTTTGGCCAGAGTCGGAGTTGAAGTCTTCAAAATTGTTCGGATTTTGACTCCGAGGTCGGATTGGTTTAAAGTCATGCTCTTGGCTAGTTAGACGAAATGTATTATGCCCGTTTTCTGCCAGTCGTGTTATGCGACACACGTTGATCACGATATCAAAAATCGGCAGTTCCGCGATGACGGGTCGGATAAGAGCTGGAGATTTTGTTGGCCGAGGTGGCAGCCGGCAGGGGTCAGACCAATGCATGTAGGCCCATACCCCATATACTGAGTATCTAAACCTCCTGGACCCTCTCAGATTCGGCACCGTTCCATCTCTTCCATCCTCAGGACAGTCAAATCCTTCTCCTCCACGCCGCGATCCCCTGCTCCGGGCTGGACGGGCAACTTTATCCCATGCGGGAATGGCTCCACTGGAGCTATAGTCCTTTGCCGGGTGCAGTGAGTGCCAGTGGGCTGGGCTGCCTGTTCAATTGGTCGGGTTCAGCCCAAGTGGCTCACTGGCGTGGCTGCCCAGACCAATGTCTCCCACTGATTCTTTCATCCTTCCCGCTCTGAAATGGTCTCATTGGACCGAAGGGCCTAATCAAATTTCGAGTAGGAAAACAACCAGTAAAACGCCTTTTGGGGCGACCAACGGAGCGAGCGAGGGGTGGGCCTTGCACGTACGAAATTGCGAGGGGGTACCTCCAACCAACTTGTGCACTGCACCCTACTAACCGGTCCCTACTCCCTAACCATGTGTCAACTTTCAGCATCATCGGTCCAGCCGTTCTCGAGATCTGGAATCGACCCCTGCATGTGCGCACGTGCAGCAGCAACCCCCAACTGTGGCACATGGTCATTGGTCAAGGATATGCATTGCCTGGTGGGTGCCTACCTACATGCCAACTTTCAGCGCAATCGGCCCAGTATGTTACCGAGATATTATAATTGTTACAAAACTGACACGTCTTCGTTTTTCACGTGGCAGGTGCATAATGGGTCACCCACATGCATCGAGAATAGTTCAATACTTGTTAGAAGGACTGAAGCTACCCTACAAAAATTAACGCATGTAAATCAGTCAAGTGGTTCCTGAGATATAAGTCTCGCAAAAGCGTGACCACGGCCGGCCGCTCACTCAGAATTCAGAAATTTCCCGAAAGACTACGCTCGCTTCGCTCGCTCCGTAATGAGTTTGGGGGGGACGTCCCCCTTCCATTCTGAGAGTGGGGGGGACGCGTCCCCCCCGTCCCCCCCGGTGGCGGCGCCCATGCAATTTAGCGAGAACATTCGCCCAAGAACAGGCAAATTCCACGCGACTTACGAGTCACCTACCGGGCTATACTCGTACTAATAGTTACTGCCTTCGCATGCTGAGTATGATAGCCGTCTGGGCGACGTACGCACCAGGCACCAATGGCCAATAAATTACAAACTAATCAGTGTGCACTGTGCAGTCAAACCAGAGTTGACCTACAGTCGACAGACGATAACCAGAGACCTTAAAGGCACTCCCATCAAGACACTCACGACACTACAACTGGACAAATATCAAGGTTCCGTGTCACTAAGGTCATTTCATTCACAAGCACCCCTCATGCAGCTTTGCTCTCCCTACCCCATTTGCCCTGTCCCCCCGCCCCGGCGCGGCGTCGGACTCACCTGCACCTGAGCGGTGGTCATAACGGGCGGCCGGCCGCCGCTCTGCGGTACCAGCTGGTACACAGTAGCGGTGGTCAGCCCGCCGGCCACCGGCGCCATCTTCAGCGAGCCGGCCGAGACGACCGGCAGCGGCGGCTGGGCCGGTGGCGGCGCCTCCTGCACCCGTACCACGTGCTGCTGCAGCTCCCCCTGCGGCTGGAGCAGCGTCAGCGGCGCCGGCGCCGACTGCTGAGAGACGGCGGCAGGCGGTTTGGCCGGCTGAGGACCGGGGGGCTTATCCGGAGGCGGGCCGGCGTCCGGGTGATCTTGCATGTGACGGACGTACGCAGAGCGCTGGATCGTCTTGAACATACACACATGACAGGAGAAGATGAGATCGACTGCCTCGCCCGGGTGTTTGTCCCGTAAATGTTTCTTGTATGTGGTAGATTGGATGCAAGAGTAGTCACAGTGCGGACACTTGTACGGTCGCTCTCCCGTGTGTCGCATCTTGTGCCGGCGCATCGTGTTGTGGTCGGTGGAGGAGTACGGACAGTGCTCGCAGACGAATGGCTTCTGACCCGAGTGCTGCCGTTCGTGCATCACCAGCGAGGAGCGACAGCTGAAGACGTGGCCACACGCCTTGCACTGAAACTGCCGCTTCTTTTCGTGCACCATTTGTTTGTGTAGTGCCAGAGCACGTCGGTCGGAGAGTATTGAGTTACAGATGTTGCACCGACACGACTCGATGTAGGCCGGGTCCTGCTTGTGCCGGTGCTTGGCTCGGTGGTTCTGCAGCTGCTTGGCCGTCTTGAACGCCTTGTGGCACGTGACGCAGGAATAATTTCGGACCTGCCCATGCGTCGGCATGTGAACATTGATGAGCTGAGAGTATCGCGCCGTCTTGTAATTACACCGATCGCAGTGGAACAGGTCACACTCGATCTGGTGCTCACGCCACAGATGCAGCGACATAGGACGCCACTTTTTCGTCGTGTGGTTACACTCGGTGCACCCGAACTCGTTCGGACTATCCGACAGATGGCAGCGCTGATGCTGGTCCAGTTTCTCACTGTCTCTCAGCCGCACACCACAGTCCTTCTCCTTGCACAGCAGCAGCCCCAGCGCGCGCTCCAGCTGACGCTGCGGCGGCCGTCCCTTACCACCAGCCAGTGTGCTAATGCCCAGCGAGCGAGAGTCCCGCGGACGACCCTTCTTCTTACCGGCAAGCACTCCCTGCAGCACCGACGGCTGCATGGAGGACACTATCCCCAGCAGGCGGCGGCTCTCACGCGGACCCGACTCGGGGTCGTCCTCGTCCTCCTCCTCTTCCTCCTCCTCAGCCGCCGACGCCGTCGTTGTCGCCGTCGACACCGGCACCGTAACTGCCCCATCCACACCGTTCGTCTCTGGTTCTGTGGGCTCCGGTTCCGCGGGCTCCGGGTCATCGTCTGTCGCCGCCATCCCACCACCCATCCAGGTCACCTCGAGGTCGTCCGAGTCGGTTATCCCCGAGTCCGTGTCAAACCGCGGCTCGGTCGGACTGACAGCACCACTAACACGGCCGATATCCAGCGGGTCCGGGCTGATCTCGCGACTGGCCACTACCGGGACCTCCAGCTGTGGCGCCGGCCGCGGCTGCACACGAACCCTGCCGTGTGCGTCGACGAGACAGTGCGCCACGCTGGTGGCACTGACCACTCGCGACGGCGGAGAGCGAGCGGTGCGACGCCGCTCGCCCGACCGGCGCCGCTCAAGTTCTGGCCGGTGACTGGCCAGCAAGTGCGCGGTGACATCCTCCCTCTGGAGCGACACGTAGCTGCACAGCGAGCACTTGTGCGCCTCCACTCGCTCGACTAGCTGTTGGCAGATCGCCGAGAGTCGCGCGGTGCCCGCTGCCGCCCTGGCGCGCTGTGGGTACGGAGGAGGCAGCCGGCCGGCCGAGCTCACCACCACTGACGGCGTCGACGAGACGACAGCGGCCGTCGACAGGGGAGTCTCCACCTGCGGCAGTGAGAGCGGCACGGCACCGAGCAGCTCGAGCTTCGGCGGCGAGCCGATACCGTCCGACGAGTCCGTACAGAAGCTGGTGACGTCGAGCGGCGCGTGCGAGGCGGGCAGCGGCAGTACCTCCAGGTCGGCATTGTTGAGTTGTACCAGCGGCCCGCTGGGCAGACAAGAAGACATGATGACGTCGTAGTTTGGCTCACTGCTGACCGGGACCACGGGCGCAGCGACGGAGGCGGCTGTGACGACGCTGCGGCTGGCGGCCGGCAGTGAGACCGGGGTGAGGGTGACCCCGCCGCTCGGCCGGAGCGTCTCCATGGACGGCAGTGCCGGCTCGCGGCCGCGCCGGCCGGGGCGCGCCTCCGGCTGGCCGCCGCCGCCGTCCGCGCCGGTGGAGCAGGGCACCGAGACGGGAGTGGTGAACTGGAGCAGGGGTCGGCCGACGCCCGTCTCGCTGACTGGCGTGCCCAGGTCGACGTCCACCACAATGACCTCCTCACTGGGCGGCGGCGGCGGCTCGCGGCTGGACGAGTCCACCGACACAGATACCTGGCGATACACGGACATTGGTCAGCGATACTGAACTCCAGAAGTCAGCGATGATACAGACAACAGCGGCTAAGGAATAGCACCACGCCTTCTCATGGACCCCGGTTGCCACTCTGCACCTATCTGCACCTGGGACAGTCATTCATGACGCTAATGGTGACCGATGGTTCCTGAATACAGAACAGGCCATTTGTAAGACAGATACAGAGACCACTCACCTGTTCGATGACCAGTCCGGGGATGCGGGACGGGTCGGGTCCGCCGCAGAACAGATCGGCCGGCAGTTCTCCCAGCACCCTGTTCTCCATCACCTGCTGCTGCTGCTGGGACGTCGCTGCCACCGCGGCCGGCGCCGGCGGCGGCCCACATACGGACACTGGGTGGGAGGCCCGCAGGCCGGGCCCGTCCGATCGCACAGGGGTCGCAGACGGCGGCTGTACACAGAAGCCAGAGCACACGTCAGTGACAGGCAGACAGCAATTCAGTCAAACAAGTAACCGGCGAGGGGTTTAGGGTCACGTCGACTCGACAGTGATATTATCGTTCGCCCGGAAAAAGCAAAAGAGGAGAGGCGCCTAGGGGAGGAGCAATGATGTGAATTCGGCCCCATGTTGGACAGAGCTCCTCACCTGGGTAACAGGAATTGTCGACAAAGACAGGTGCTCCAGTGTCTGATTTGCGCCACAGCTGGGCGCCGTGCCTCCGTCCATCACTCGGACAATGCTACCTGCAGACAAGAGTGGATTGTATGGTAACAAGTAGGTAATGGCTGTGGGCAGAGATAATCATGATGACACTTAACCTCCTAGTCATAGGCGTCGCCAGAGATTTTCGGTTGAGGGGGGGGGGGGGGCAAAATCAACTTTTGTGTTAAAACTTGCCTTTCCCCAGTCTTTACTCACTCGTTTTACATATCATTCGACGCGCAATGGTGCGAAGAATCAGATGGTGACAAAGGTTTCCTTCTAGCTATGACATGTAATCTTTTACAGAAAAATTCGAAATTTCGAAATTTCATGACAAAAACGACTGGTAGAATTATACTATATAGTGGCTGCGATTGCCAACGCACTGCAGAGGGCCCCTGTGCAGACGCTCGACGCTCATGATCATTACCCAGAAAAAGGTGAAAAACGCTCCATTTAATCGGATCACCCTGCTAAAACCTCCATTCACGCATTGGGCATTCGGTGGAGAGTGAGTGTCGGAAGTGTGAATCGGAAGTAATTCATCCTTGCTGCAGTGAGAAGAAGTGTTTTGTTCACTCGAGTGTGAACACAAAGTTTCTCGTTTTTCGTGTGAAGGGAAGCGCTGCAAACGCGAACAAAAACTGTTAACGGAACCAAAAGTTACGCACGGCATAGCGGCAAGGGATCCTTTAGAGATAGGTTTGGGACTTCCAGGCCATTTCAGGCCACTCAGGGTCAGTGCTGACTCTTAGAAGCATGCTTAGGATCCCGGAGATCGGCGTGGGTCACCTCAAATATTTACGTGTACGTGGTGCTTTAGGGCTTTCCGAGCCCAAGGTGGGACCCTCAGAAGCCAGTGTGGGCGGCGGGCGCTAAGAGACTATGACCAGGGTGAGCCTGGAGCCCTCGGATATCAGTGTGAACCCTCGGGGTCTGTGTCGAATCCCTAAGGACCCTACGTAGGGACATAATAAACATGTGTTGCGGACCTCAGAGGGACACGTGAGCTGTGACCCCTCAGATGCCGGCTTGGGGTTAGCAAAGTCTGTCGCCTCAAAAGTTTGGCTGAACTATCAGAGGCCAGTTAAGGTTCTCAGAAGTGTTCGAAGGCTCAAAGATCCCTGTATGGGCCCTCAGAGGACATGGACACCAGTGGGACTTTCAGAGGCCGGTTTGGGCCCTCTGAAAGCTTCTTTAGGGCTCAGTGGAGCTCCTTAGGAGCCTTTGTTTAAAGCAAGCTCATGAGCCCTGCTACACTTGTACGGTACTTGAGCCTGTCGCAGACATTTGACGAGAGTTGAGAAAGGTCCCGAAGATTTCGTTTCACGCTTTGAACGAAAAATTGTGTCAGCACTCCAAAACTTATGAAAATCAGCTGTAAAATGTAATAAAGAACGAACTAGGAACATGGAATGAATCACAGCATTGACATTTCCGAGTCTGGACTCGGAGTCTTGAAGATTTTGGCGACTGCGAGTCAGACTCTGGTTTGAACTGCACGCTCCAACCGAGTCTGACCTCACAGGCATTCTCAGAAAGGTACCCCCATTTTTTTCCCGACTCCAAAATCTCATCGGATCTGTATCGATCTCAGGGGGTTCCCGGTCCGAGGTAGGGGGGGGGGGGCAAGCTGCCCCGCTTGCCCCCCCCCCCGTGGTGACGCTAATGCTCCTAGTCCTGCCACATTAAAAATCTCAGCCAAGAAGTGAAAAAATATCAAACGGACATTGACTAGCCATCTTCTGTCAGCACTCAACAAGCTTTGTGACCAATGAATCCATAAAAGCAGCCAATATCATTTACATACACTGGACATTGTGTCAGTTTTGTAACTGAGAAAATCATGGATTGAGGCAGAATATGAAGCCCCATAATTGATTTGATCACCTATATAGCTGGCACAATCACTTCTCGGATGAATTTGTTGAGCTTTGAATTGAATAGTTAGGTGGGTACCTACCAACTAATTTAGTCTATTTCCTGTTTGGGTTCTGGCTCCATGATAAGATTTCATAGACAAGCAAAAAGGTGTAAGACCAAAGAGATAATCGTGCTTTGTTTTGATGGCCTTTAACATACCTAATCCAAATTGTGACAAAAATGAGACTATACATATACATCAGTGGAACTCAGTGGATTATTTTTTGCAAAACTTCTGGTTGAGCAATAAAATAGTGGTTACTGGTTAAACAAGCCTCTATCCCACACTAAGAAATGCAGGAATTCGTAAAACAAAAACACGAAGGGAAAGGACACATTATTTAAGCCAAAAAAGGAACAGGACACCTGAATACAGTAATTTGTATACTAAACAACAATTAACATTAGCAACAGCACCACCAACAAACTGGGTACATTGATATCTTACTTGTGTCAGGCGTTATAAGATTGGGTTAGGTTATGTTAGGTAACATTAGGTTAGGCAAGCTTAGGTTAGATCAGGTCAAGTTAGGTGAGATCAGGCTACCTAATTTTTACTAGCAAATAATTCAGGTTAGAATGAAAATTGGAAGAATGTTATAGAATACCATGCTGCTTGTTTAGAGAGCATGACCAAATGCGCAATTCTTTAGATTTTGTAGGTCATTACGGAGCGAGCGAAGCGAGCGTAGTCTTTCCTTAGATTAACGGAAATTTCTGAGTATGAGCGGCCGGCCGGCCGGCCGGCCGGCCGTGCGGACGCTTTTGCGAGGCTTATATCTCAGCAACCACTTGACCGATTTACATGCGGTAATTTTTGTAGGGTAGCTTCATTCCTTCTACCAAGTATTGGACTATTCCCGATGCATGTGGGTGACCGCTTATGCACGTGCCACGTGCAAAACGAAGAGGTGTCACTTTTGTAATTGTTGCAATATCTCGGTAACTACTTGACCGATTGCGCTGAAAGTTGGCATGTAGGTAGGCACCCACTAGGCACTGCATATCCATGTGCCAGAGTTGGGGTGCCGCTGCACGTGCGCACGTGCAGGGGTCGTTTCCAGATCTCGAGAACGGCTCGACCGATTGCGCTCAAATTTGGTACACAGTTAGGGACCGGTTACTAGGGTGCCGTGCACAAGTCAGTTGGGACCCATTTTGCACGTGCGCACGTGCAGGGTGCCGCTTCCAGATCTCGAGAACGGCTGGGCCGATTGTGCCCAAATTTGGCACATCGCTAGAGACCAGTCAGCAGGGTGCCGTGCACAAGTCAGTTGGAGGTACCCCCTCGAAATTTCGCACGTGCAAGACTCACCCCCTCGCTCGCTCCGTTAGTCGCCCCAAAAGGCGCTATACTGGTTTTATTGTTCCCAAAGAGATGGCATAGTTTTGATTGAAATTGGATTATGAGTCTGGTGTGCTTAAGGTAATTTTCACCAAAAGAGCTGATCAACAACAGTGTTGAAAATAAGGCCACCTTTTAGTCTCCAGCAGGTCCTGAATTTAGTCCATTAGACTTAGGTAAGTAGGTAGATTGAAAAAGTTGGTCTGATACAAATCCCAGGAATACATTCATCAGTGATATCATAAGTTAGATCAGTCGGCCGGTGCTCGCGGTCGGGTTCGGATGCGCGCGCCACCTCTCTCCACCGAGTGGTACATACTACCGATACAGAGCGTGGTGTGCGACCAACAGTGCCGGCGGCTTTTTTGATCAGTGAGCGCAAGCTTCATGCTTACTTTCTAAGCTCACTTTGGGGACGGAACTCGCAGTTTCTCGAGTCGAGTGTTTTTTTCCTCTGTGTCGCGACTGACCCAGTGACGTGGCGCGCGAGCCATGCCGCGTCCCGAGTTGGAATATGGGAAGCCTAAGATGTTTAATGAAAAATAAATGCCAGAGCCATGTTCCTGGTCATCCAATCTATAAAGTCGGGCACAATTTAACTGGTTTTAACAACATTTTAGAGGGTGGGATAGTCCCTTTAAAGCATTTTTCGATGTTGTGAGTGCCCAAACCGGTATTTTCAGGCCATGGCCACCAATTTGGCTATCTCAACTCAAAACTAATGTTAAGGTGGGATGGTCACTTTCATAGCACTATATTAAAAGTGGTAGGCAATAGGCATATTTCTTAGTTCAGTTGGTTGCTTAAAGTCATACTTCAGTATGTTCTATAGGGAGTTGAGCATTATTTCAGGTCCAATCTTTTCCTTGTTCATTTGTCCATCAGTCATGAAATTTTCAGGGTGGGAAAACAATTTGCAGCCAGTCCAAGTGGATTTCATGCGAAAAGTTCCAAAAAAAGCATCATTTTTAGATCCTTTATACAAGACCCTATTGGAGGCAGTCCTGTTACACTTTACAGGAGCATAAAATAGAGCGCTCCAATTTAAGCTTATTTTCCTGGTAAGTCACGAGCTGATTTCCTCAAATATTTCTACGGACACGACATGAGATATCAAAATTTCAAGTACCGTAAACCGGGGTGACAATGATACCCGGGGTGACTTTGATCATAGACCAATTTTGGGCCTCAAATGAGCAATTAGCTGCTGTGAACTGTATTTTCTATGCCAATAGTTAAATAAAGCAATGAAGCATTATATCAGACACTTTGGGTCCCAGTTAGAATAATCATGTTCATGTCACAGCTTGTTTTTTTTTTTTTGTTGTCATTGGCATGAAGTATAAATTCGCTAGCATCTCCAGCAAAAATTAGGTTAGGTTAGGTATATACGGAAAAGAAAGGTCCTGAGGGACCTGGGTGATTTCCGATCAGTGGCATTTCAATGTCTTCTTAGTTCCGTCTTGTTCTCGGTGACTTCGTTTCCTACTCGTCAAGCTCGTCAAGCGTCTTCTTCACTGCCTTGGTCTCAGTTCGTAGACTCGTTGCGCCCAGAACTTGTCAAGTCGATTCTTGGAGGCGTTGACGCTTGGGGCAGATACAACGTCCGCTGGGAGTCCATTCCAGGCCGAGATGACGCGCGAACAGAAGGAGACTTGACGCAGCTGGGTGTTGACTCTGGGCTGTCTCAGTTTCAGACCGTGGTTCCTCGTTCTCTGGGACGGTTCTCGTTCCAGCAGGTCACCAGCTGTCACCTTCAGGCGTCCCGTGGCC